GGATGTGGGTCCTGTCAATTTCACATCAGCTATTATTTGTTCACGCACTTTCAGTCCAGAGTTAAGTGTTTGGCGCATTCCAAACATATCCACCAAAAACCGGTTTTATAAGAGAACTTTTTCATTATCGGCATTCAGACAACCTGAGTAATACTTACAACCTCTTTCAAAAATTGTAATATTCTGCCACGATCTTGAGACTGTCACTCTCGTTATGACAGCAAAATAACGCACAGTTCTTGAAAAATTGATGGTACCATTTCAATCTAATTCATGGCTTTGGTCCTACAACTTCCTACAATTGCAGGTATGGCGTTTGGTTCGCTACAATTCAACGTAATGGCAAAGGTTTGCGCTATTTATTCCCCTGTATGGATTCAAATGAATTTCCTGCTGAATACAACATTACCGTCAAACGTAAAGCATCCCTGCGAACCCTTTCGAATTTCGTAATCAAACGTTCAATTCAAAGGTTAGAATGCAAAATTGATAATGGTTACAACTTCGTGGAATTTAAAAGTATTTTCAGTGACGAGTATTTTATGACTGATTACTTTCCGCCGTCAATGGTAATGTCACCCTACCAGTTCGCCCTTGTCCTATGCGATTTTCAATACAAAACGGAGATCTTTAACGGGACCGTGGTGAGGTTTTCCATAACTTCTCTCACTTTTATTTATAACTTTTGCACATTTTTTGCGTTTATTGGTACTCGCTATTTGCACTGTCTTTTCATTATTGTAACCAACATGTCATATCTTTATGTTTAATGTACTATATTATTATATGAAATAATATTATTTTATATTGACTGTTCTGTTAATTACCATTAACCACATTAGTAGACCATACTAATGTGCTAATTAAAATAACATAATATCACATAATATAGCATTGCGTTATATTGCATTACATTAAAAGGACAAAGCTTTCGCCGTCGGTCAATCCTTTTGCTGGATGCGGCGCGCATTCTACTTCCATTCAGAATCGTAGTGGCTTATTGAATTAATATGGTCTATACAATGACTTGCGGGGACCTGCCAATGTACAAATCAAGACTACTATCGCTGAATAGGAATTACACAGTATTACTGAATAGGAATTACAATTGGAATAATATTAGAACAATAATATACAAGGGTTCAATAAAGAATAGAGGATAAAATTTTCTCTAAATAAATTCATAAATTTTAATTTATTAATATAATTATGCCATTAATATTACATTATATAATTATATTATGTGATATAATAATTAATAATGCATATTTCTGATCAATTCCTTTGTGGGATACGCTACGCATCATACTTCCATCCGGAATTGTAGTGGCTTGCGATACGGCCTATAGAAACGAATCTGGTACCAATTCGCCGAACCGGAGGGTAGAAGGCTTGGTGGCTTGGCGGGAGTCGACCCGAGCAGGAATGCTCAAGTGGTAAGCGCGCCACTTGTCTATACCGCCTCCACCTATAATATAATAAAAATATTATAGTCTAATATTGTACTGTATCACATTATATTATACTGTTACACTAAATGACATCACCTTACAGTATTATTCCCATTTCGTGCTCATTTTTTTAAATTCTGTTGACAATACAAGTGATTTACTTTATTAATTTTTACTCAAAATTACTTCATATCTTTACAGAGTTTTTGTATCTGAATTTAATCAAGCAAATTGTATAATGTATTAAAGCATCTGGTTGCTCACCCTTTGCTAAGCTTATTCGCTAGGGATGAGGCGTGTCACTGGGGATGGGTTTGGCACGCCGCCAGCCCTTTCTTCACCAGTCGTTGGAGCGGGAGCAACAACACTTTTTGGAAAACGACTGATACGAAGATATGGCATAGTCTTGTCACTTGCGGAAGAATAAAATGAAGAAAACGGGCAGGCGCCGCGCCAGACTCCTCCCCTTGACATGCCTGATCATTCGCAGCGAACAAGACTCTACTACCGAATCATAGGAAAACATACAAGCTTTGCAATAATTTTTTTCAAATTTGCTTTCAAATTTTGGAAGTAAAAATCTTGAAGCTCGTGGAGTGATAAGAAGAACACATGATAACTCAAGCTGGATTGAATAACCAGTTAAGGTAAATCGAGAGATAAATAGCCTGTTCCGATAACTCATTCCGATAAACAGTAGACTTAACAAACCTTAACGACAAACTACCAGTTACCAGAATAAGAATGATGGTTATCAGAAAGCGCCGTGTAGTGAACAAAGCAAACTGTCAATAGAGAAGCACTCAACAAACCCAAAAATAGGGCCGAAATGAGCCGATGAAGTCCTTGGTAACCGAAATGAAACAAAACATGGAAAACTCAACCAAGCTGAGCTTCGTTCTTTCCCGATCTTCTGAAGTTGCTGTTTTTTGCGATTTCTTCATGACAGAATTCGTGAAGCGTGCGAGCAATATGCAACTATTCTGCATCATCATTGTACTTATCACTACTTATTTTCTTACTGCTCATAAATTTTGAAATTGCTTCGAAATAGTTTCTATTTTTGGCTACAATTGATAACTGATTTTATTGCTAGAACACCACCGGTATTGGCT